ATCCCTCCTCATGGAAACCCCTTGCCCCCCACCCCACGCACCGCGGCAGGTCCAGCAGGCCCTCCACGGCCCTCCAGATGAGGGGCGCGGGGTCTTCGCGCCCCTCCTTGCTCCCGCGCGGGTGGTTGTAGGCCAGCCAGGAGAGGTGGTAGCAGTGCAGGTCTACGAAGACAAAGTCGGCGGAGGCGACGTCGCGCGCGGCGTGGGAGGAGTTGCGGATGGCGGCGGCCAGCCAGGCCTCCGTGGAGTACTGGAAGTCGGCGGGGGCCAGCGCGTCGGCGCCGTCGATGCCCGCGCCGGGGGCGGCAAAGGGCCAGCAGGCGGGGTCGGCGAGGTCGCAGGCGGGGCCCGACCCCTCCTGCGCCAGCTCCCGCGCCGCGTCCAGCACGTAGATCTTGCACCCCTCCAGTCCCGGGGCGGGCCCCTCGTCCTCCGCGGCCAGCGAGGCGACCACCGACGCGGCGCGGGGCACGGCGGCGGCGCGCGGCGGGCGCGGCGACGAGGCCTCATTCTGAACGCCGCCCCACCACGCGTCGCCGGGCTCCTCCTCCCCGATCAGCGCCGCGTCCTCCGACACCACCATGAAGGGGGGGGGGGAGGCGCCAGCGGTGCAGCGGGTGGGGGGGGGGTCCTGCAAGGCTCTGCTGTCCCGTCGGGGGTGGAGGAAGGGGCTGTGGTGCGTCCGTCGACCCCCCCGCATCTCTGCCGCCCTGCTGGCTGAGTGGGGGGCTGGGTGCAGAGGCAGTGGTGGGCAACCCCGCCGCGGGCATGGGTGACGGGGACCCGACCGAGGTTCCGGTGATCGCAGGAAGAGCAGGGGATGCCGTGACCAGGGAGGGGGGTGGTTGAGCAGGGATGTGGAGGACGGCCGGGGTCGATCCTGCCCGTGCAAGGGGAGACGGCAGGGCGCCGGGCCCTCCCCCGCCTCCCTCTGAAGACGGAGGAGGCGGGGGCGGAGGGTTGCGGGAGGTGAGAGACTGAGCGTCGACGGGTTTGCTGTCTGCAGGCACGAGGCCCCCTGCCAGGCCTCTCCGGGGCAGGCTGGACCCTCGCAGCTGGATGCTGTGCATTCCTTGTCCCAGGAACGTGGCTGCAATGTGGAAGAGGGGGGCAAGTGACAGGGATGATTGAGTTTTGGGGTAAATGATCGCATGCCGCACAGCCTTTATTCATGCTGGGATTGATTAAAGGGGCTGTGCCCCACTTCCAGGCATCCAGCAGTTGACCGAGGCAGTGGCAAGCAGCGTATTCCAGGGATACGGGACAGCCTTTGAGGTGATGGGCAGAGGCCAACATGGCACATGACCCCCTGATTCCAGTGGGCAACACCGATCACCTGCAGAAACAAAGAGGACGATGCACAGGGCTATCAAGGTGATGGACCGCCTCGGCATGCGCCCCTTGCTGGGGGTGGAGGGCGCATCCCGGGGACTCCGTTGCTGTCCGAGCGCGGACACCGGCCTGTGGATAGGAGGGAGGGTGGATAAGGGCAGGCAAATGAAGGCAGTGCTACTACAGGGCCTCCAAGACATCCCACCATTGGGAGGGCATGCCCCCAGCTACTGCCACCTGGGGAACCTGGATACCCGTGTGACACTTTCCCACAACGCCCGACGCACCGTGCATATATATTCGAACGGGAAGTTCGATTCCCAATCATTTTGAGGCCGCGCTGGCCTTGCGGCTATGGCGACGGACAGTTCGGGATCTGTTGCAGCCCGTGGGCCCTACGATTCCCAAGTCCGCAGCTCACACATGGAGCGGCGCGGATCTCGGATGTTGAACTTCATCCATGTCCATAGCATAGGTCGGACCACTCTGGCGAGTCGTGTGTACGGCAAACTCAGCGCCAATCGCAAGGCTGGCTGGTACACAAGAGCTTGCTATGCCATGCGTCCAGCCCGCTCATGCAGCTTCTTAATCGACAACTTACAATTCTGCGTCGGCAGGTGGTGTCTGAGCGATCCGATGTGGGGCCGGGCATTGCTTGGGCTTGCTGGCAACTCCCACACGGTAACCCTTCCCTGGTACCGAATTCACCCAATTCACCGCGTGCGTCACCAAGTTCGGTGAGAAGGAAGGGGGTTGGGGGGGTTGATTCTTCGGGGACACTTCATCAAGCATGCGGCCAAGTATGGACGCTGGACAGCCTCACTTGAGCATTCTACACCATCAAGAATGTACTTAAAATAAATTTGAGGCGACGTGTGTATGTATCGGAACCCATCCAGCGTGCTCCATCCCCTTCCCCGTCAGGGGTTGACTGTCCTCCACAGCGGCCAAGCGTGCATGGGCGATCGGCCGATACTGTTTAAGTAAACTCAATTGAAGGTATCAAGGCATCTATCTGGATTTGCCCGGTTGATCGCTGATGGTGACGATCTAGTCTCAGCCACTCTCGGGGGGTGTACCATCGACGGCTTGAGTCTTTTACGACATCGGCGAGGAGCAAGAGCACGGGATACGCAAGGGCGGAGGGTTGATCGGCACATTCATATGGACAGATACCCAGCAAATCGCTTTAAAATATGCATCTGCAGGACCACCACTTCGGGCACCCCTACATCTTGGCATGGTGCTTCAAGCACGCTCCAGTGACACTGGAGCCCACAACAACGACGGCAGTGCCCGATTGGAGGCAATGCGCCACCTGATCGACTCGAAGGATGAAGAGATCGAGTGTCTGAGACAGCGACTCGCGGCCGTGCTCGGTGGAGGCAGCCGGCTGGCAGACCCCTCCATGCGCGTGAATGGGGGTGGTGAGGTCGCTTGTCCCCGAACCAGGTGCAGTGATCCGGAGGCCGAGAAGCTGCGGGTGCGGGTGGATGCACTCACAGCCGCTCACGCCGCTCAGGCATTGGAGCTGAAAAGGGCAGAGGAGAGAGCAGCTGCAGCAGAGGTATTCATGTTGGTACAGGGCTGTGTATTGTGGACCAGCTGTCACATTTTCTCCAGGGAAGCCACTTCCATCACTTGGCACTTGCAGCACCAACCAACACAATCCTCAACTTCAGACCTTCAAACGGGATGCATCTCCATGCTGAGCATGTACCTTTGTGTCACTCGTACCAGTACCGGAATTGTTAACCCCTCGCCTACCAGTGCATGAGCACTGGGGCTCACCATCTGAATTTTAACCCCCCTTCTCAGAACATGGCTATGCTTTTCCACTGTGTCAGGGGTCCTCCATGTCCCGCCAGCAAAGAATCACTGTCACTCCCTATCCTCTGTGCACAGACTCAGGCCAAGGCCAGGGCACAGGAGGTCCAGACCCTGACAGCACAGCTGGCAGACGTGGACGGCTGGACCCTGTCGGCCCATGCCAAGGCCCGGGACGCCATCATCGCCGACCTGACCTCCCAGCTCCAGGCGGCCAGGGCGGAGGTGGAATTGCGGGTGCCCGGCGCCGAGCACGCGGCCGTGGTCGAGGAACTGGAAAGCACAAAACGCGGCCTGGCGGCCGCGCAGCGTGCCGCAGAGGCGCGGGAGGCCGCCGTGTCCCTGGCGCAGGCCGGTACCGCCGAGCTGGAACGACGCCTGGCCAGCCGGGAGGCAGCAAGGGAGAAGCTGGCCGCCCTGCAGGCGTCCCTGGACGAGAGCCGCGAGAAGGCGGCGGGGCTGTCATCCCAGCTGGCGACGGCACACGCCAGCCTGGCAGACGTGCGCGGCACGCTGCAGAGGAAGGAGGGCGTAATGCAGCGGCAGGCCGCCCGGGCCAGGGAGATGGAGGCCGAGCTGGCCGCCCTGCGTAAGACCCTGATGCAGCAGCAGCTGAGCTTGGCAGCCAGGGCGGGGCTGGAAAGGGGGGCAGGCGCTGTCGGCCATGGCCCGGCAAAGGGGCCCGAAGCCTCGTCCCGGGCGTCGCTGCCGAGCCCCGGCGCGGACGCCGCGGCCATCGCGACCTTGCGCCGCGAGAAGGCTTCCCTAGAGAGGGCGGCGAGCGCGGCGGAGGGCCGGGCAGCAGAGGTCGAGGCAGAGTGCACGCGCCTGACCACCCTCCTCGAGCAGCTGCGTGGCAACGATGTCATGGCGGCGCTGAGGGGGACGCGGGCGCAGCTGCGCCAGTGCACCGCACAACTGGGCCGGGAGACCGCGGCGCGGTCACAGGTGGCCGGGGAGTGGGGTTTTGGAGGTGTATGTGGAACCGGTCTATCCTAGCACGAGCGACTATATGTGAATGTTGGGCTCTTTGGGATCGGAGCACGATACCCCACCAGCGCAAGCGCACGCCCCCACAAGGCACAGATACGAGACCGTTATTGTTTCCGTTACATCCCCTGTGCAGGCAGAGACAGCCGCCAGTGCTGCGTGCGCAGACTTGCGCCAGGCTCTGGAAGACAAGGAGGGCATGGAGCGGTTGCTCCGGGAGGCTTCACTGTACCATGAAAGGTTTGTGGTGTTGTCATGGTGAGAACCTTTCGGGGGAGGGGCAGGATTCCTTCCTCCATGCACATCATCCGATACATCTTACATGGTATCTGGAGGAAATCTGCGCTCGTCAGACGCAGTGGGATCCACACCAATCCAGCCCACTCCCACCCTGTTCTCCTCCTCCCTCACTGTCCTTGTGCAGTCTGTCCCAGCGTCTGGCGCAGTCAGAGCAGGCTCTGGCCAGTATGCACGCGGAGAATGCGAAGCTCCAGGGGTGCAAGCAGGGCCTGGCTGCTGCCGAAGCTGCTGCCGAGGACGCAGCTCGACACGCCGCTGAGCTGTCCTTGTGAGTGCCGCCATGTGATGGGAGGGTGTATGGTATGGTACATGATAGACTTCAAGAGTAATAAATCCGGCACGATTTGTGCAGCAAGCATGCACACAGGTTGTCACAGTATTGACCCCCCACCCCATATCCCATGATGCACCCCCATCTCCGATCACATGCCCAGAAGGAATGAGGAGGCCCTTGCACGCGTGAGGGCCATAGACGAACACCTGCTGGAGCATCGTCGTCAGATTCAACACCTGGAGTCGACGGTGCGCATGGCATGGAGGTTATGATTCCACTGCGAGAGTTTCGTGTGGGATAACAACCCAACCTTCTGTCCCAGCCTGGGTGATATAGGATCTTGAATGGTTGGATAGAGACCTGATCTGAGTCCCAGGCCTCGCTGTCCTTCCTCACGCCTTCCTCTGTTCTTTCATTTTTCCAGGTGACGGCATTGAGATCGGAGCGAGAGGAGGCGAACAAAGCCTGCGAAGGCCTGCATGCAGAGCTGGAAAGGAAGAAGGAAATGCTGGCCACCACTCAGCATGACATGGAGGTCTGTTGGGTGGCTGGACATTGTCATGGGAGTGGACCAGGCCTCCTCCTCCCAGCGGCTGCACGCTGGACTTGCACACTGCAAGGTAAAGCGCGCACCTCCCCCTTCGCCCTTGCGACATATTCCACAGGCGCAGGAACGCCAGCGCAGAAGGGCCCTGGAAAGCACAGCCAGCGAGCTGGAGGCCTGCCAGCAGCGTTGCGAGGCGAGGCGGGGAAGGAGGTGACCAGCAATAACAAGAAAGCCTTGATTTAGACGGTGCTGCTCACCCTCCCCTGCAGCACACCCCTCCGCCGCAGGCCCTGGTGCAGTCCAGGCAGGAGGCTGAGGAGGAGCTGGTGTCTCTGAGGTCCAGGGCCCTGGAACTCGGCAGGCAGCTGGCGGAGGAGCAGGGCTGTGCCAGGGCTGCAGAGAGGGAGAGGGCCGGACTGGAGGCACAGCTTGCTGCGCAGCAGGAGGCCCTGAGCCGCAGCCGTGAGGAGCATGCCTGCAAGCTCGGAGAATTACAGGCTGCGCACGCTGAAGAAGTGCGGGTGTGTGTCAGAGGAAGATCCATGACAAGTTGGTTTGTAGCAGGGGAAGTGAGCCTGATTTGATTCATACTCATCCTGGGCTCAAGTCACCCTCCCTCCCATCTTGCAGGAGGCGGTGTGTAGGGCTGGGGCGGCTCTGCAGTCACGCATTCAGCAGCTCGAGGAGGAGTGCGCAGCTGCAGCTGCTGCTGCAGCTACAAAGGGCAGCTCAACACCGACCCAAGTATGTCCCCTGTGACCCATGCGCTGCCAGGTCACTCACTAATGCAGCGGGGGGAGCTCTGGATGGGACAACAGTCGCCCCTGATGTCCACCATGGCATGCAAGCAGATCGGTGCTGATCCAAGGACTCTTTTTTACCATCCGCAGGGCAATGAGCAGGGTCCACCACATCGGTCCACGCCCACGCAGACCATGCCACAGCCTTGTGCACTGCACAGCACAAGCTGCTGGGCGGCTGCGCTGCCCGGGCAGCGTCAGCCAATGGCAGGAGGCTGCTGCCTCATGGCCGGGCCCCTCGAAGCTCAAGTCCCTCCCATGCCAGGCGCCAACACAGCAGCATGCACAGCAGAGGAGGCTCGGGTGAGCGTAGCCAGGTGGTAATCAAGCATGGGCTCTTGATGCTAGCCGTAAGGAGGGCCAGGTACACATCACTGTCAGCATATCTTTGCCTGGTACAGCTCGTGACGAAGGCTCGCCTCAAATGCACAGGCGGCTGATGAATTCGAAAGTCTGCTGGCCAAGCTGGAAGACATTCACAGCCGGTTGTCAGGATCGAGATCGGAAACTGCTGTGGCTAGTCTTGGCACGCCACATTCCATGATGCCAGCTCAGCAAACAGGAAGACGGGCTGTTGCGACGTGAAGAAATTCAGTTGGAATGACACGTACCCAAAATGCAGACTGCTCCCAATTCATGACAACATTGTGTGTGCCAACATATCCTGGTACATGTTACCAAGTACACAGTCTTGGTATGTTTGACAGCTCAAGGGCACAGGAAGGGACGGGCTTACTTGCAGATGTAGTCAAAAGGTGAGGCTAACACACATCCAACACTTTGAGTGCCACTGCCAATGGGTGCGGAGGCGATGGCATTCCCAGTGGAATGCTGGAGGTTTCCCATAAATTCTCAAGCGATCACTACTGCAGCACGCTCATCAGTCCAAGAGGGGCTCCGGGCTGGCACTGGGTCCGTTGCTAGAAAGTGCGAATGGCAGCAGGACTTCATCGATCAGGATGGCCACGCCTGATGCAGGATGTGATGGGGGGGAGGTTGGGCTGAGAGGGAGTCGAATCTGGACATGGCCAGGGCGACCAGTCGACACAGCTCAAAGCTCTCAGCTGCCGCCATTGAGCTGGGCACTCAATTAAGACTCCCCGACCCCTCTCTCCATATGACTCACCATTGTACCCGGCCAGCGAGCCCCGAAGGTTGACCTGGGCGCTGGACAGGCCGTCCACGCTCTCGAGGCTCACGGATCGCACCGTGGTCACTAGGGTCTCTCCTGTCAGACGGTTCACCCCGAGTGGCAGGCTCGTGCTGTTGCTCACGACAGTGATGTTCTTGCCCTCGTACAGGGTGCCCAGGGTCGTGTCCGACACCTGGAAGGGGCCAGCAGGTTGATGAGGCTGACACGGGGGTGTGCTGTCAAGGTTGCAGCATCGGGTAATGTTCTTGGACGATGCCTTTCCTGGCAGCCTTGTTCCTCTACCCGCTTGAAAAGACTCTATGCGAATGGTCAGCCACCCCCTCGTCAAGCTCCAACTGTTCACATGCCAGCAACCGCACATCTCACCAACTGCTCTGGAGCGATGGGGCTGGTCACCAGACTTGGGTCTGTGAAGTGGTAGAGCAGAATGTCCGACAACTGCGGCGCGGAGAGGGGGGGTCCGGTGAAAATTCGTTCAGTGATGCACAGGGGGAGACTCACGCAATACTGCTGGGGAAGCACTCAGGAAAGAAGCGGAGCAGATCCTCCTCTCATGATCTCTACCTTCGTTTGTGCTCAGGAACAAAGACAGAATCACAAAATCTCACAATCTCTCTCTCCCGAATCAGAAATTTCTCCCTGCCCATCGCCGGCAACCCTGTGTACCTCTGGCAGTGCCAACAGGCCCTCCACGTCCACCCCCAGGTCGGACGCCAGCTGATCAAAAGCGTCATTTGTGGGGGCAAAAGCGGTGATGGGCGAGTACTTGCAGATGGCGGTCTCTGGGTCGGGGCAGTCCTCAGACAGGAGTTGCTGCAAGGGCAAGGGGCGGGGGGGACTCTTCAGTGTTGAAATCCTTGTACAACATTTTTGAACATTCTTGGACCTTCAAACCAACATTGAGGCCTCTAAGATGTGTCGGAGTGTAGCCAACCCCAGCAGCACTGTGCTTGTAGGCCTTGCCAAAAAAACTCAGGCCCCAGCTCATATCACATGCAGCCTGGTAGGGGCAGCCAGTCGCCCCCACCCCCAGAACCCACCCCGATGCCAGACACGTTCAGGGCTTGGGTGAAGGTGGACAGCCGGGGCTCGTTCCCAACAGCGGTGACGACATCAGCCAGGAGCGCGATCACGTTGCTGATTATGTACAGGTGCCCGTTTCCTGCATCGACGGTGTGAGATTGGGTCGGGCATGCGTCGCTGTTTGTCATCAAGGAGGCGAGGAGCGCGGGTGAGTGCTGGGGACAAGTGCCGCACCGTGCCCGAGCACGATTTCCTCTTCATCATCCACAAGCGGCTCCGAACAGCGCCATGTGGCTGGGAAAGGGTGTCGCATCCATGGCCCCTTCAATACCAAGAGGTCTGACCTGCTGCAACATCAGCTGTCGCGACGGTGCCCTCGATGATCCCGTCGGCGCCATACACCGAGTTGGCGAGGACGAGCGCCTGGAATGTGGGAAGGGCGAGAAGGGAGGCCATGGGTCGAGCTGGGTGCGGAGATGAGCATATGCGAGGGGAGGCAGTGATGAGATACCATGGGAGGAGGCTGGCCGGCGTGGGCAAACCTCACTGCCCCCAAGCTTTGGTTGACGTGCTTGCTTGCAACACAAGAGGCAAGCGCAGCTGGACACTGCTGACTCGGGGATGCCTTCATATGCCACCCAATTGCCAACCTGGAAGGGGACGGCGTCGGTCGGAGTGACGGTGAAGCCGCCCTCCAGGCTGGCCTGGATGTCGCTGAACAGCCCGGGGGACAGGGTAGGGATCCCACCGCTGGACCCCGCCTCATCAGCCTGAGTCGCATTGTACGTGCCTGGGTGATGGCGGCGGGGGTGCAGGCAGCTCAGTCACGATGCAGTCGACTGGACCCCCGGCTGCGCTCCTGGGAGGAGGGGCTGTGCCACCTGTGGCAGCCATCCACGCTTGCGCAGACCCCTCCCTTCCCTCCCGACCACATGAGACATGCCGGTGCTCTCTCCCCAGTCAACATAAACCCCGCACCACCTGAGGTCACGTGGTTGAGCAGGATGGCCAACAGCTTGGGTGAGGCCAGGAACTGTCCGATGGTCGTGTTCGTGGACTCCAGGAACGTGGCGATGGCATAGTTGCTGCGGGAGGGAAGCAGGTCCGGCGTGCATTGGTGCATGGCGGTTGACACGGGGGACTCCACCTCCGCATCCCGACACAAACGACGATTGCAAGCCGCCAGCATGACCCAGGTCCCCACCAAGACTCCAAAGCACACGCACCTGGGGGCAAAGAGGGTGTACCCCTGACCGTCAGGCCCGGCGGATGCCAGGGTGTCGGTGAGGTTGGCGACCTCCAGGGCAGTGGCCAGGAAGCTGAGGCTGGGTGACTCGGCCACCAGCTCCCAGAGCGTGAAGGAGTCGGGGGCTCCTGCGACCACGGCGTCCACTTCAGGGTTGCAGCCTCGGTAGCCCGCGCCGGAGAAGCGGGGACTGGCTTGGACGGCGGGGCAGGCCTCGGGGCTCACCACATAGCAGTAGTAGGTGTCGTCCCCCTGGCTGCTCAGGAAGTTGTCGCAGCCCAGGAAATCGTCTACAGAGGCCACACTGTGATGGTTTGGGTGTGTAGGGTAGGGTGTCGGAAGGGCGGACTGGATTAGGTGCTGCTTGGTGGGTGGCATGGCAAGTCCGAGCCATGGGGACAAACATGGAACCAGCGATCTCCGCGTTGGCAGAGGGCAGCTTCCGAGCCCCCGAACTGGGACAGCATTCGCCTCCGCGCACCCGCTGATCCCCGTGAGCGTACAGTTGCAGGCTCCAGGCAAATCCTCGATTTCTGATGCGGGGGTGATCAGGTCCAAGACGGCGGTGCCTGTGCCCGGGTGGGGGTGATGTTTCGCTGGGTGAAATGTCACGAGTCGGTGGCCTCTGGCGTACGATCTGGGGTCGCAAAACCCGACCGACCCGGCTCCATGCATGGGGTCCTGCGCATTGCTACTTCCGGGAACGGCACATAATGTAAGGCAGCAGTCAAGCCGTCATTCTTACCCGAAGAGTTTTGACCAGCGACGGAGAGCGAGAGGGCGCACAGAACCGCAAGGACTAGGACTGCTGGGGAGCCGTCGCGCTGCATCATCACGTCCGAGTGCTCTGCAGGCCGATTCTGTATGATCTGAATGAGCACTTCAGTGAACAAGGATTCGGAATCAAGCGGGTTCCCCTTTTAAATCTTCCAGATCTGGGTGTAGTGTCAGAGGGATCTGGGCGGCCCGCGTGATCGGCTTCACCGGGAGTTGAAGCTGCGTGCCTACGAAAGGGATCCATTGTTCAACTGCGACCGAATTTCAAACTTCCTCTGATAGCCTGCCTGTCCCTCTCTACAATATCTCTGTGACCAATGGAAGCAAACCCAGGCCGTGCATCGAAGGGGAGCAGACCGCAGCACAGAAGAGCACTTGAGGGCGATACGGGCGCTGCGACCTCAGCCCCTCCAGCCTCCGGAGAGCGCCGCCCTCGTTCAGTCCAGGCCTACCGCCCCGGCGTCTGCCACCAGGATCGAACGCCCATGCACCCCGGCCTCTGCCAGCCTCTTTGCCAGCTCGGCGCCCTGCTCCGGTGGAATGCCGGACAGCAGGACGCAGGCCTCGCGAGCCCTGGGCCCCAGCAGCGCGCGCAGTCCCGCCGGCCCCGACCCCAGCAGCGCCCCCAGCTCCGGCGCGAGGCGGGCCTGGCCGTCAGAGGGGCTGAGCACCGCCCTGGCCCCCCCTCCCCCCCCGCCTCAAACACGCTGTGCAGCTTCACCCCCGCCTGCCGCCACTCCTCCCACTCCACCACAAAGGGCGCGGCGGTGGGCGAGGGCGCGAGTACGACCGCCACCACAGGGTGCTGTGCGGCGTGGGCCAGCAGGGGGGTCCAGGAAAGCGCGGAACGGAGCGCCGCCACGCCGCCAGGGCTGGCCCCCAGCAGGAGGAGCGGCCGCTGCTCCTCCAGCGCCGTCGCCAGGTCAGCCCCCAGCGAGAGCACCGAGGAGAAGCTGCGGCATGGCGGGGTGGGAAAAGGGTGGAGGTGTGCATAGGCTGGGGGTGGGGGTGAGGGTGACACTCCGATGACGCCTTCCCCACCCAGGCGATTCCACATCGCCCTAATCTCGCATGTGATTCTCAGATAGAGCCGATTCGGTGCAGTGGGCTTACACGACCGCCCAGGAGCCGGATGTACCGCAAAGCCACCACAGGGCCTGGCCCTGCTCACCCCCGCTTGCCCCAGGGAACATATGAAGAAGAAGAACGCACGGCGGAGCCCCCACCCTCCGCGACTCACCCCCGTCCCAGCACCTGGCTGACCTCCAGCGGCGTGCCCGGCTCCTGCGCGGCCAGGCTGGCGGCGCTGTCCCGCGCGCGCGTGTCCAGCAGCAGCTCCACCAGCCTGGCGTCCAGCCCCGCCGACTCGTTTCGGGCGCTGGTGGGGGAGGAGGCGAGGGCGAAGCGCACCGTGGCCGAGCCGTCGGCGGCGCAGCCATCCACGTCGGCGGCGCCGGGGCCGGGGCAGAAGCGCAGGGCCACCGACTGGCCCGGGAAGCGGAAGTCGTCGCGCCAGCGGGGGCGGCGCTGCACCTGCCGCACTTTCCTCCCGTCCAGGTACTGCACCCGGTCCTCCACCGAGAGACGCAGCAGGCGCAGGCCCCCGTCCAGGGACGCCTCCCTGGCCACGCGGTCGAAGAGGGGGGGGAATGTGTAGGGGTAAGGTGAGTATGCGGACGGGGTGGCCGTGAGGAGGGGAGCCATCGCGGCCATCCAACGCCTTGGCCGGCAACCGGAGTGTTGCGGAACCCCAGACCTGCTCCGAGAGCTTCACCGCCGTATTCAACGGATCTTGCCGATGCTAAACCAAAACCATCTACCGCCCTCCCGTCTCACTTGTTCTCCACGAGGGTGGCGGACGTCCAGATCAGGTCGGGGTGAGACGTGGTGCCGGTCCTGGCTGCCTGAAACACCCAGCGCCGAGGACCATGCGGCCTGCCAGCCGGCTGGCACAGAGGATGAGACACTCTGGGAGAATGCGAGACTTGACAGCCATCAAAGGATCGCTGCATGATCCTCGATGTGAATGCACCGGGGTGCAGTGAACCAGTCATATTGTGAGCGCGGTCCGCCGCACGGGGGCTCACGGCCCGCGATCTACTGAGCCTCAACTCAGATCCGATCCTGCTTGAATCGACACGTTGACGCCGCGCTGACATGTCCCATGGACAGGGCCTTGCACCAGAGCCCCATGCAGAGAGGGGCACCGCGGATGGCCTGACCGGACCCACTAAGAAAGCACGGCGTGATCATGGGTCATGGGCGGGGAGTGGACGTCCCTCAGGTTCTCTCGAGCCGTCCCATCACTTGGCTTGGACAGATTCATGTTTCTAGAAGTGTAGTATATTTGGGATTGACTGCAGCGACATAGAGCGTAGAATAGCTACGGATCACTTCGTGGTGTAAAGTGCCGCAATGTCGACCTTAGCCCCAACCGTGAGTGCCACTCGCGTGGTTGCCGCACGATGCGAGGCACCACGAATGTTGCCTTCCATGTCCCTGCGATCTGTGCGACCCTCAGGTGAGCATGTGCAGCCCCACCAGGGTTCGCACCCTCGGCCCGTACTTCAGTCTGGCGAGCACTCGATTGGCCCCCGCACGGTGATCACGATGGGCTCGCAGCCCGGTAGGATATCCGACGCTCACCAATCTCCATCTTTCCTGTCTCAGCATCAGGCCGCTGGGCCCCTGCAACCGCCCACACGCGAGCCGGAGGTCTGCGCATGAGGCGTTGCCCAGCCTCGCACATTTGCGCGGCGGCTGGGGCAGAGCCGGAGATCACCTCCTCTGACACGGTGCCCGTCTCGCTGCGTGTCACCCAGCACGTCAGTTTCGGGGAAGTGCTGAAGATTGCAGGGCAGCCCCATGCCCTGGGAGGGTGGCGGCTCACCCATGCACCAGGTGGGTCGCTTGGGGGGCGCAGGGTTCTTGATCGGTGGGAATGGTGGCATTGAAATGGCATCCCGGGGTGCCTGACGTGCCCCAGGGGCCGGTGTGCATGGATGAAACTTTGCCGGGCAGGCACACCACTCTTGCCTCTCTTGCGCTCAAGTAGATATTGCGCCCTCGGCTTCCCACGCATCTTTGCACCTTCCTACCATCACTTCACCTTATCCAACCCCCCCCCCCCCCCCCCCCCCCCCCCCGCCCCCCCCCCCGCGCGCGGG